CGGTAGTCCTTGTTCAGTGCGATAGGCCATTGTGTTAAACCCTGACGCACAGTGCTTATCGCACGTACTGAGCGGGTTTGTAAACCTTTTCACCGTTGGGCCTTATCAGTTGTCCTTATAACATTACCCCCCTCTCGGCTCAATTAACTCCTGTTAATTGGTTGTGTGTGGGTAACAAAAACTCAACGTATAATAAAATGATCTAACTTATATAATGAACAATTTTTGAATATAAAATAGACATTTATAAAACTTATTTGATTTTAATCTTTGAAATGCCAAATTTTCGGTCATTTTAATAGTCATCCTTTAATCGTCTATCCGGTAATATACGTTGAAGTATTATCGTTACAATTTTTGGGCCCTATTGTATGCGATGAATGCTCCAATTGTATTGCTGTCCATTGATATCTTGTTGTCATAAACAGTCCAATTATGACTGCAATTTATAACAATAATTACACTTTTAGGATCCGTAGTGTAACTATTTCAATGATCTGTTAATTGATTCATGTTCCAAACATGTCAATTAACCGTGCACACGTCTTCTATTCATCTCAATACTTTTATTCACCATCATCATTGTAAGAGTTTCTTTATACAACTTTCGTCATTATTTCCCTTATTTTGAATCTTTGGGTCTTATATAAAGTTTGAGGATCTCTATCAAATGGTCCAACCATTTGCTTATCAAATTTGGCGCCAATCACTTTTATGTGACATTATTATCTCAAACATTATCTATGTTGAGTATTGTATTAATTGATTTCATATCAATTCTTCGCGCGGATCTCTTATACTTCTGTGGAATGAATCCTCCGTTTTCCTCTATTCCGGTGAGTCTAATGTATCCTCTGTTGAAGTGAGTTCTTTGTTATTCTCTAATTCAGGTGAGTCTTGTGTTTCTACCATTATGGTGAACACTATTATTTTGAAATTGTTTTCAAATATTAATTTCCTGTTTAATCTACACTATCATAACAATCCGATCTGTTTAACCATTTTTTTAAAACTTAAGACTTCTTGACATCTTATCTTTTTTGCAAATTCTCGTAATTCAGCGCCAATTCTCTTGACTTTGGATTTATTGTTTTGGTCACATTTGTGTAGTTCTGGTGAACCCAAGTATAAAAGGCGTCCCAATTATACTATCGGTCTAATACACTCTCGTCCAGAAAAACGGCAATAATACATAAATCTCGCAATAAGTTATACATAGGAATGTTATCCATCCTATAGACCAGTTGTCGGGTATTGTTGTGAACAAATGCGGGTCTAGACGAGTACTGGTGACCACACTCTTCCCGTTCGCCGATATTGTCCTGACTGCAGGTAAATATGTGACTATTTTGTTTGCTCAAACAGGTCCGAAAGTGTCGGTATTTTGCCTGTGGCTATCAATACGCCCCGACAGATAATGGGGCAGGAGTGTGTCTCGATTTTGACCGCTTTTCTCCATTTGTTAACACGTTATAATATTTGTTAGCAATCGGAGCAGAAGTAACATCCGTCCACTTGATTGACGGCAAGTCCTACTTATTTCCTAAATTAAAGTAATACTCATTTGATTGAATATTATCAAAATCTTTGCAAAAACTCTGGTATCGATAGGAACCGAGTTTTCCATCTCTGATCTCGTTTGACATCAAAACGTTGGTCAATATATCGCTGAATGGCTTTGTATTGAAGTCTATGTTTGTATTTGCGGGGTTTTGTCGTAAATAAAAATATATCTGAAGTGTTCTCCGCCCGATTCCAGGCGTAGATTCTTTGCTAAACCCATTACTCCGTTAATACACGAGTCGTTGATAATGAGCCAAACCCGTGAACTGTCGGCACCCAATTCACTGGCCATCAGTATTTTGTCCTTCAATACTGGGAACCATTGCTCGCATTTGCCGTTAAATTGGATAATATTTTGTTTGTACGGAAGTATCGGTTCCGAGATTTTCCTAAAGAGCACAGCCTTTGAACCAATTGTATCGCATTTACTGCATATCACACTTAATCCCATTTCATTGCCATAAGTCATGAAATCATTGATCCGTTTCTCGAGAACTGAATCCGTGACTGATTTCCCAAACAATGAATTCAATGCGATCTCCGGTTCCGTCAGTTTATATCGAAATACTGTTAATAGAAATCTTGTGAGAATTTATTCAAATCCAATGGCCATAAGTCTTGTGAGTCTCTTATTATGACCAAATGCGAGGGTTTTAATGGTTATGTCATATTTAAGTTGCCATTCAGTAGCCTTTTCTCTATACAATTCATTCACCGATTGTATACTTTTAACAATTAGTTTGTAATCGACTTCAAAAGAAATAATACGGAAATGTGTGAAAATCTGATCTATATCTTTGGCCATAAAACTTTTGTTAATTTCAGTGATATTTATCTCTTTAACGGTTACATAGTTTTCGCAAACAATTTCCATCAATGATCTAATCATACGCTCATACTTCTGGGTCTGAATTATCACATCTTTACTCAAATCGTATTCACTGTTAGTTTGTATTTCAGTCGACAATTTTGAAACCTCTTTTTCACTGATTTTATTACTATTTTTATCCAAAACCTGTCAGCATTTTATCAAACGTACGAAACATTACGTGATTTTAATTGATTTTGATCCGAAATTCTTGTACCAATTCTTTGCTCTAAATACTTGGACACAGCGGCCGATAAACAGCCATCGATGGCCTGATTGTCATCGTTGGGACAAAACTCTTGCGTATCTAACACGTGAGCAGTGGTGTCCTGACGACGGGGTGCGGAAAACGCGATAACCTCTTCGAGTTCAACGCCCGGCGCCACCAACTGTTTGGTCGCCGAATTGTAATACAACGGCATTTCGGTCGAGTATTGGGCGAACCGGTCGTCAAAACGGACTTTCTCTCTGTTGATGATCGCTGATATAATCTGCTGTTCGTCAGTCGATGGCACAAAATAAGCGCTATTAATGCTGACAGGAGTCGGCTCCTCCTCAGCACCGGTGACCGCCTGAGTCCCGGGCGTCTCCACTTGCGCCCCATCGTGTCTATGGCTACGAAAAGCGTCTAACATAAACCATTGAGTCGAGCCGTAGCCCATGTATGAGCACCGGTAACAATAACTTCCGGAAAAGCACCGATATGCCCCGCACCTGAATTAGTCCGTCCATATAAGGGACACACTTGCCGTTTCATTCGCACACACAGTTAAACTCGTTGTAGTCGTCGGTGCCAACAGTGCGGAGCCGTTTGAACGACTGCTTATAGTCTACGCCCATAATATGTAATTCTTTGTATATGTCGTCCGAATGTATGGTGTGTTCGGCGATCGCTAAACGTCGATCGCAATCGTAGAGCGATTAGTGTGTTGTTGCCCACTAATGCACGCATTTTGCCCGAAACACACGCGTTGTCTTTCTCGTATACTACAAATTTACCGGTTAGTGGAAAATATTTAACGTTAAGAATAACGTCTTTATCATTTTTGATAAACACTGCCTGCCAGAGCTGTACGCTCTCGAATATATCGGGCACGTTGTACCACAATTTGCTCATGGTGGCCGCCAGGCCAGCATCAGATAGCCGTTGGCCGGTATTATTGACTAGCCATTGACGCAATGGTCCACATAAAACAAGTCCGCCTTAAGGCGTCAATTGATGTTCACATTCATGTCCGCAGCGTTTGTCCGGCTATAGCGGTCCGGATATAGAAATGTGTAAATATGTTAGCTGAGATCCCATTTGATCACTGAGTATATCGCTTGCGTATCCCTCACGACCGGCCACTCGATACACGGGTATAGCTTATCGACAAACATATTAACGCCCAACTCATACAGTGTGGCCAAAAACATTCGTGTCGTTTGAATCCTTTTTAATGAGCGATACATAAGAGCACTCATTGAGCGTTTCGGTAAATATTTTGCCAGTGAGTGCGGACCGATCTCTAAGACAATGGCGTCGGCCGGCAGTTGTTTAATGCGGTCGTAAAACTGAACAGGGTTGAGCAAATTGTGGGCAAAATACCCGCCCGACGCGTACCGCAGGGCTTCTTCTGTCGGGTCGGCGATCATGAGTGAAGTGGACAACCATTTCTTGGAGCGCGGCTTCGGATGCGGTATATGTTTATTGATGGCGTCAATCAACGGTTGAGAAGTGGTTTGAATGTGTTTTTTGTTAATAAAAGGCAATATTACTGCTCTCTAATTGGTGGACAAATATATTTTTCTCGGCCAACACTTTGATTGTCTCTTTCATCTCCTTTTCTAGACCGGAAATAACGAGACTATTCTTAGCGTTATTACAGGCATTGTAAACACCGTTTGGACACAACTTCTGGGCCTCAGACTTGGGTAACCTCACGACAACCATCAGTCCTTTGGGTATACTTTTGTTATTTTCCGTAACTATCCCTCGGATTAATGTTACGACCATTGCTTCTCTTGTATTTATAATTAATATTATTACTACTTTCCGACATCTTTTAATTATAAGTGATCCCTTGAATGGCATTCCCGATGAGTTAACATTAGGCGTGTATTTCATAGTCTGCGCCAAAAGTGCCAAAAAGTCATTCGTCACTCTCTTTGGGTTGATTTGTATGAAATCCATCACATATTCGACCGCATCTTCAGTTCGGCCGCAAATGTTTACAATTCTGAGAATCGTTTCCGCAATTCTCAGTCCATCACTGGTTCCCAACTTATGGTTGGGTTCGAGCAATACGTGTGCGTTCGCACCGCCGATACCAAAATTGCTCACTGCGGCCAACCCTGGTTTATAAGGCATCGACCCTACAATAGGCTTTATAGGCGGACAATAAGGAAGGCATTCATCCTTCAGTTGTTTCATATTAAGGTTGGGAGGAATGCATTCATTCTCGTATGCAATACACACTTTAATGAGTGCGGCCACCCCTGAACCGGCCTCCGCGTGGCCCATGTTGCTCTTCAACGCACCCAACGGCAGGGGTTGCGTACGTCCCGGAGCCTTAACGTTGGCATTATATATGGCCTTTATTTCTCGTGGATCACCCGCCTTGGTGCCGGTACAGTGAGCTTCGAAATAGGTGAGGTCAAGCGGATTAACATTGACCTCACTATAGGTGTCAATCATGAGCTCTTGCTGTGCGTCGGCCAATGGGAAAAACATTCCGGTCGTTTTATTGCCATCGATGTTCATCTTGGCTTTGAGCATGGTCGCGTACACACGTCGGGCGTCGCGCCGGTGCTGTAGGAAAGCACAGCACATGGCCTCTCCTTTGATAAAGCCGTCGGCGTTCTGGTCGAGGATTGCGGCCACACCTCTGGGCGAACACAGACCCGACTCCTGTTGGAACTGCAGTACGAATGGCTCGAACAGCATATGAGTGCCGCAAACAATGGCCGGATCGATGTTTCCGAGTCTCATGTCATTCATAGCCAGAGTAGTGGCCGATAGACTGGCCGAACATGCGGTGTACACCAGCAGTGACGGGCCCTTGAAATCATTTTTTTTGTCATTTTGAACAATAATATTTCTATAATAGTTGTCGAATAATAATTGAATTCACATTCAATGTCTATATGGACTTCATAGTGGTTTACACCATTTGTCAGTTAACTTTTTACTGAACTACCAATGATATGGTGTCCATTTGACCATCGGTTTACGTGTCCGCTTCAAATCAGGAATTTTCATCGCCCTTAATGCTATAGTCTATGACATAGGGATTACATAGGAAATGTAAACCTCCCGCCCATATATACAGCCACTAATCCATGCCAAACTACATAACACATCTATTAGTGGTTCGGATGACTAATACTGACCACCAGACCTAGCGGCCAGTGGCCCGAAGCGGCGGGCGTTACTTATTGTAGCACTTTTATAAACCCCAGTCTCTGGTAAAACATCCAATTGTCTATGAGCTTATGTTTAGCCACTTTGTGGTAGAAATGCATTTTTGCAAACAGTGGACCAGAGATGTGATCCACTTTCACCACAAATAAATAATTCGTGTTTTTCAGCAATTTATTCAATTTCTCTTTATTTTTAATCAATTATCGCTATTTATTAAACTTCTGAACACATCTTCTTTTAGGTAAACCATTGTATGAGTTGTTGTCAACCAAACCATTGTTTTGAGATAATGTGACCAAACATTGAGAGTTTTAATTGTTGCCACTGTTTGTAAATCTCGGGCAGTTTTTTTAGCGCAATATATTTCAGAACTTAATGTAAAAGTTTTATATAATAAATAATGTGATGCAAAGGCAACGAGAGGCGACACATAAGTTTGCCACCACTTTTGTTAATCTGTTTTAAGCCAACGGATCGGATTACATTACCACTTCTTGTGCATATAAGATTTGTTTATATAACTTGAAATAGAGTTTTTGCTTATTTTACAATTTTGTTGGTTTTGTAAAGTTTACAAAAAATTATTCGATAAGTTTTGTATTGAATGTTTGTTGTGCAGAAATAATTAATTCATTTTAATTAAAGTGCGCAAAATGTATGCCCGAGACTCTTTGGATCGTTTCGGTGATGACTTATGTCAAGAGTTATTGTCATATCTCTCACTTGAAGACAAATTCAGATTTGAACGAATTTCACAACAGTGGCGAAGAGTTGTCTTTAAAAATGTCTTTGAATTTGATGCAATAATTTGCAAAAATTGGATCGCATTTGAGATTATTCTCAAGAAATGTACTAATATTTCATTCATTCATTTGACATATTTTTGTGATTTGGAAGATTTAGTCATTGATTTAATGATCAAATATTGCTCTCAATTGTCTCACATTTATGTGGACTTTAAATTTGTTAGTGTTAAGATGATTGACAAATTTTTCACTAAATTTGGACAACAATTAAAAACTTTGAAGTGTTTGTCATTTAATGAAAATGCAGACAGTAATTCAATCAATCATTGGATGAAACTGTGTATAAATTTACACACATTTCAATGCAATTATCGACTCATTACAGCAATTACTCAATCAACAGGACTTTTTCCGCTTCTTCAGAACATTGACATTTTTGTGGACATTTTGTCTCCCAATATCAATACGTTGACCATATTTGTCGACATGTTCCATAAACAAATAAAGTCATTTATGTTGACTTTCATTGGCATTAATGATGACGAGTTCAGGCAAACATTTGTTCAAAAAATTTTGCCAAAATTAATAAATTATTTGCCACGAATGCGAGCATTACTGTCTTTTGGCCTTCATGTAAACTTTATGTCATCTCAAGTGTTGCTCCCGTTATTGAGTGGAATTGGTATCAATTGTCGGCGTCTGAAGAGTCTCAACATTAATGTCAAGAAGTGGTTACCGGAATTGATTACCATTTTAGGCAAACATTTCGTGGCTTTAAATCGCTTGAAAATCTGTGGCCAGTTTGATACCCAAGATCCGTTGACCAGTGATTCATTGGCGCCATTCAAACGATTAACACATTTGAACTTATTCTTAAGGCACGAGATGCCATACATTACTGATAAATTTTTTATAAATATTAACAGCAATTTATCAAAATTGCAGTATTTGTCTCTTTGGTTTGTAGACATCAGTGACAAGTCATTGACACCATTGGTCGGGTTGAGACAGTTATGTGGTCTAAAACTAATCGGTATTTATGAAGATTGGGAGGAAAAGTTGTCTACGGAATGTGTTCAAAGTTTTCGTTTTAATTGCCATAAATTGTGTTTCATTAATTTTATATAGATTTACAAATATTGTTTTTTATTCATTTTAAATTTAGTTTTTTATATACGTTTTATTGTTAAAATGTGTACTTTTTGTGTAAAATTTAATAATGAATAAAATAACATTTATATTCATTAATTCAGTTGTGTTTTATTTGCGATTCCATGATTATTAAATTTGTCGTGATTGTTTCCCATAGGGTATTTGTAATGAAGTCAGCCCTTTGTTAGTATAAGTGTAGCTCTTTTTGTAGTTCTTCTTAATCTTAATCATTAAAAGGTGTAGTGTTGTCCTTCGGGTTGGTGGGCATTGTATAGCAGTCCTTCATATCGGGAGTCATTTTATAGTAGTCCATCGGGTCGGTGGTTCTTGTAGAGCAGTCCTGTGGTCCGTAGAGTTAGTATTTCAGTCCGGTAGTCCTTGGTAGTAGTCTTTCATTGTGGGAGTCTTCCATTGCGTGTATCCTTCATTGTGGGAGTCCTTCATTGTGGGAGTCCTTCACTGCGTGTGTCTTTCATTGTGGGAGTCCTTCCTTGTGGGAGTCCTTCATTGTGGGAGTCCTTCATTGTAGAAGTCTTTAATTGTGGAAGTCCTTCACTGCGTGTGTCTTTCATTGTGGGAGTCCTTCATTGTGGGAGTCCTTCATTTCGGTAGTCCTTGTGGAGTAGTCCTTCGGTTCGGGAGTCCTTGTAGAGTAGTCCTTCGGTTCGGTAGTCCTTGTTCAGTAGTCCTTCGGTTCGGGAGTCCTTGTAGAGTAGTCCTTCGGTTCGGTAGTCCTTGTTCAGTAGTCCTTCGGTTCGGGAGTCCTTGTTCAGTAGTCCTTCGGTTCGGTAGTCCTTGTTCCGTAGTCCTTCGGTTCGGGAGTCCTTGAAGAGTAATCCTTCGGTTCGGTAGTCCTTGTTCAGTAGTCCTTCGTTTCGGGAGTCCTTGTAGAGTAGTCCTTCGGTTCGGTAGTCCTTGTTCAGTAGTTTTTCGGTTCGGTAGTCCTTGTAGAGTAATCCTTCGGTTCGGTAGTCCTTGTTCAGTGCGATAGGCCATTGTGTTAAACCCTGACGCACAGTGCTTATCGCACGTACTGAGCGGGTTTGTAAACCTTTTCACCGTTGGGCCTTATCAGTTGTCCTTGGATCAGTGTACTTATCGTGTGAAGATTCGGCCAAGTCCATTAAAACTCTACGCACAATGCGGCATCGCTCGTACTAGCGGGCTTTCCAAACTTTTCACCGATGGGCCGTCTGAATGTTTATTGTTAAAATTATTAACTATGTAATAATTATGGTAGCTTTAAAAGAAAGGGCGGGAACATCCCGTACGATGCAACCATATGTTACAAGTTGGTCACATTTCTGTGACCGACTGCAACGGCTGGGCTGAGAAACCCAGTGTGGGCACAGCAGACACACGTGTGGCCAGTGTCCAGCGAGCGGCAACCAGAATGCCGGCCAGTATGAGTGCTGTGCCGTCAGCGGCGGGCGCTGACTTTGGGGGTACCGGTAGTCGAACCGCCGGTACCGCGAGTGTTGGTGGACGAGGAACCGGACTAACTATAGATTGCCGTCAGGTTTGTAACACGAGGAACCCTTGACCGCTGAAGACTAACCACATCACCGACCTTGTTAGGGTACTTTCTTAGTGACGGGATAGCTCAGGCGGAAGTGGGAACCAAGTGTGCTCAACTGTGACAGTCCACGGCAGATGTCCGTCTAAAGCGGCATAATTAATAAAAAGTCATCAAGTCACTTTTTATACGTGACAATTATGGAGGCACCACCGAGATACTGATCCACGAAAAGTCAAACGATTATTCAATTGATTTTTCGGCAAACAGTTGTTACCGAAATCCGGTCAATAGCTAGGGATCTCATGTTATTAAACAAATAAACCACTGAGAGCTTGATTCACGTAACGTCAATAAATTTTACGGCAAACAAGAGAATAGCAATTCGGGCCATTAAGCGACATTCCGCTCAAAATTTATAATTCAATTAGCAATTATGGAAAAAATTCCATTACCAGTATTTACAGGGGAAGAAGACAATGCCACGGGTTGGTTGAGGAGATTTGAAGCCGTTGCCCTTGCAAACGGTTGGGGTAATGATAGAAAGAAAATTATAAATTTTGCGGGTCATCTTGATTCATTAGCTCTGATATGGTTTAATAACCAAAAATACCAGATTATTACAGAATCTTGGGACACAGTTAAAGAGGAATTTTTGGGAAACTTTGATTATATTTCAACAGATAGGGATTATATCTTACAAAGTCTGAGGAAATTAAAATATAATGAGAACGAATCAATCAATAAGTATATTTTCAAAGTTAGAGACTTATGCTCAAAATATGATCCAGATATGGAAGATGAGGCGGTAATATCACATATTCTGATTGGGTTACCACGTTATTATAGACTATTTATAAAAGTAGCTAAACCTGAGAACATCACAGAATTTATAAAACTCATTAGAGACATTCACACCGACAAGTCGCCTAATCTTGTGAATGTACTACAAATAGAACCAACACCAATAGCCACTGTGAGTATTTCAGAACCTGGCCCATCTACATCTCGCCCCTCTACATCTCGCCGAACTTCATCTTATGTAGAGATTAGTGATCGTACTTGTTATAATTGCGGAGAAATAGGCCATATGGCTATGAATTGCTCAATGCCACCAGCCTGTACAGATCTCGAACCATATTATTAATATTCCCAATAATTTATATTGTATATAATAGTTGTAGAATTTTTAACATTATTGCCCATATATGTTTTATACTATATTCCCTTATAAGACCTATTTAAGACCCATTAAAGACTATTTAAGACCTATTAAAGACCATTTAAAGCTACTCTATTAAAAACCATTTGCCTTTTTATTAATGAGATAAATAGTATACGTATATCAATAGATAGTCATGAATTTTTACCATCAAAAAACAATGTAATAGTATTCCGGCCGGATGCGTACAGTGTTAAAGATCTAGTTCACCAAGAGATTCGAATTTCGATTCATGTGTAATCTATTGCTCATTAATAAATTAAAGTAGTTACCATCAGTACCGTCAGTTACCATCAAAAACAAATTTTAATTATAAAGTCCAGAAAACCGGATATTCGCTATAACGTCTCTAATTACAGCCAGACGAATACTTGTAATAATCCCATTGTTAGACATATAACATCAATTTTAATAATTATAAGTCCATCTAAATGATTGAAACTCCTACAAGAAATAGCCTATTATCTGTTAGACCGCCAAATTTGAGATCAGTTTTTGCGAAAAATTCATATTTTATTATACCATTTTTGTGTTGACTCATACCTATTATATTAGTTTTAAGTTACAGACCACCCAATTATAAATCAGTTTTCATAGAAACCATACTTATTAGACCAACCTTAGTTACAGTATATCAGATTAGAGATCAGTACTTGTAGAAACCGAGAAATATTATACAATTTTAGTGTTGACTCAGAAATATTATACCATTTTATGGTAGACTCAGAAATATTAGACAATGTAGATTCCGACGATTCAACGCATGACAAGTAACAGCTATGAGAGAGTAGGAGTAATAAGAGAGAGGAACTGAGTTGAGTTGATAGAGTATTAGTCATAAGTAGGTGTGGTGTGAATGAATGAAAGTGAACCCCAATACCTGTGTCTCAAGACAATATCACTCAATATTTATACAACAATAATCCATATATGGTACCAACATTACATCATCAAAGCCATACTTATCAATTAACACCTTAATTAAATTCAATCATAACAATGGATGGACTCAAAACAATCAAACAATCAAACTCTAAATCAAGAAAAGCTGGTCGACGTAAATCATATTTAACACCTGAAGAACGAGTAATAAAATTCAAAGCGCGTAGACGAGAAGCGTCAAAGCGATTCTACGATAAGAACAAAAATTTAATTAACAACAAACGACGCGCTAAACGTAAAATCAAACGACAACACCAAAACGACGAACTATCTCAGCTTTCATTATCAACTTCTGACAAGAAGAAAAATTGGGACAATTTTGTAGATTTTCTCGATGACGCTCTACTCAAACCACCGATTCAATCCACACAGGGAGGTGGAAGACCTACAATATACAAAACACCTGAGGAGATAAAAGAAAGGCGTAAAGATTCTAACAGAAAATCATCAAAGAAATATAGCGATAAGAACAAACAGTTAATCCGTGAAAAGAGACGAATTCGTCGCATTAAACAAAACGAGCGCAAAATTTACAAACAATTGCTGCACATGCCAACGCTCGACAACCAGTGGGACAGTAGTGAGTCGTTATCATCTGAACAACAAGACTCATTGTGTTATTAATGAGACGACACCTCAAGGCAAATAGTGGAAGCGATGAAGTTGAGTGTTAACATAAAAGTACAGCATAGACTGATCTACATGTTTACGGCTCATCGGTAATGGTCAACGCGATGAAGTTGAGTGTCAAACATAAAAACACCTCAAGGCAAATAGTGGAAGCGATGAAGTTGAGTGTTAACATAAAAGTACAGCATAGACTGATCTACATGTTTACGGCTCATCGGTAATGGTCAACGCGATGAAGTTGAGTGTCAAACATAAAAGTACAGCAGAGACTGATCTACATGTTTATGGCTCACGATATTGGTCAATATACTGTGTTTGTGTTTTAATAAATAATAATCAAGACCGATCCATTCGTATAAGGAAGGACAACGCGATGAAGTTCATCGGCAGGTCATATCACATAAAATTTTAATCATTATGCATAATCACACTAT